AATTAAGTCCAAGCCACACCCAGATTGGTTTCCTTTAGGGGTTTAATTCAAACTTTCCGACGAGCATCCCCGACCTTTCCCTCTTAGGTTCCCCCCCTCCTCCCCCTCCTCCCCGGGATATGAACGTACACCAGACCACAGTAGATACATTATCATAATTATAAATATGGCGGGAAAAGATCACCACATGCCTACATGTGCACAATTTCTCGTGCTTGAAGCATGTGTTTTAGTATTTTCGGGAGTATGGGTTTTTATGTAAGTTCCGGGTTTAAGTAATCCGGCGTTAGGGCTTCTGATGTGCTCCGGATTTTAGTATTCCTGGTTTTAATCTTCCGGCGTTCCGCGTTTAAGTATTCCGGGCTTAAGTATTCCTGATTTTCCGGCGTTCTGCCGTTCCAGGTTTCAGTACTAGTCGTTAGACCTGGGCCTAACGCCTGGCCCAGCCTAAAATTATTGTAGACTGCAGTATCTGTGTACATTAAAAAAGACAGAATTGGGAGATAAATTAAATTCACGCGAAAAGTACCGTCGCCAATAAGAGATTAAGAAACAAATGGATGAGATTAGAAGCTAAGAAGGTTTCCGGATTTTGTACTAAAACTAAACTGAGACTGAATTTACAATAAGAATCATCTAACATCAAGTATATACCAATTTTACAAATCTAAAACTACTGTACATGTACGAGTAGATGGAGATATCACCTTGAAATTAGAGTCTTTAAACATAACTGAAAATTAAGCTTCCACCAAAGGTCGCTGTATCGATTCCTACACACAAGGCCATAGTTATGTTTGTATGTCACAGTATTCCCAGGAGTTGAACCTCTGTACGCTAAAGAATCTTCCATGTAGCGAGAACTGAAGCGCAAAACTAACATTGAAGGAGTCGCTTGCCTGCCGAATTGAATAACTTGAGACCTGCTTCTTTATAACACAATGTTTGATTTATGCCTATGTCTCAGATAAAAATAGCAGGTTTATAATGCAAAAAGAGGGTGGACCTTCCGCTTTTTATCGTTCAAGGACTTCTACCCACACCAAGTTATGAATGAGTCTTGCAGCCCTATAGTGGAGCCGTTCCAGGGACTGAATTATGTCAGAGTTGTTCAAAGCTTTATCTAAATCCTCTTAATTACAGACACTTCGAAAACGCAAAGAAGCGGCCACCTTTTATTAGCAACCGCACAATGCTGGGCTACTCATCTGGTTACTTACTAACTACAACAGATAAGAAAAAAGCCGCTCAAAGAAAACACGCGCGCTGATTGGTTTTAACTCGTGTTTCTATTTATCAAATAGATTCCATGTTGCCGTGCGTCTGTCACTGATGTCCATACCACATTTTGACGTCTCCTGTGATCTGTTAAACAATTAGATTATGAGCTCGAGATTTTTGTCACGTGAGTTGACTATCCCACACAGAAATCGAGAGCGAATAATCTAATTGTTTTAGTATAAATCTACTCGTCGTTCAAAACTTTATCCAAATCCTCTTCAAAGACATTTCGAAAATGCACAGAAGCGGCCGCCAGTTTGTTAACAAGTGCTCACTGCTACGCTACTTACTGTCTACAACAGAATAGATAGTGAGTAGTATAGCCAATCAGAGAACGCCGTTCGCGATAGATTTTTAAATAGTGAGTATAGCGCTAGCGTAGAACGGCATTCGTGATAGAACGCTAGTAAATTTATACTAAGAGCTGATAGCTGGCGAGGCCACACGCCGAATAACTATCACCTCACAGAAATCGAGAGCGAATAATCGAATCGCTTTATCAGAATTCTAACTAAATCCTTCAGATGAGATATCCAATCACTTAGGGACTGTGCAATAATTACCTGGAGAGGGGAGGGAGGGGAAGGGCTGGGAAATGGGTGAAATATGCCCCAAACTTAGTCATACTCCCCTTCTCATTAAGCAAAAATTAATTTCAACCCCCGCTCACATAATGATAATATTAAGGCTAACCCCCTTGAAAAAACTCTCCTCCCTTGTATAACAGAGGCATTCCTTTCCTACTGCATGAGAGATAAATTTGTCAGTGTTATTCTAATGTTAGTNTAGTTTACTTGTTGGAGTTCTTCCTCCGGTACAAAAATCACTTCAAATGCCTCTTCGACGTATGTCGAAGACTCATTTGAAGAGTCATCAGAACCACTGGACTCTCAGCTTGTCTCGTGTCCGCATGAATTGGGAGATTCCTCATCTTCTACAGCATCTCAGGCACTAAGGTTCCTGCGTGCATGGGTGAGAACTCGATCAATCAACTCAGCCTTGCTTCCAATTATCTTAAGACCTTTTTCCTTTAGATACATTTTCAGCTACTTGTTGGTAAGCGCTTTTACATCTTTTTCAATTGTCCAAGAAATAAGCGGAAGAGTGTTCCTTTTTCTTCAAGTTCCTTCTTCAAATAGGTCGGTTTTTTGTCCGTGTATTGTTAAGTCGGTCTGTTAGAAGTCCGTTTGTCGGTTTTGTTTCCGTCATGGATAAGTCGTAGCGCTAACTCCGCCTGTTCGGGCTATCTCGCTGGGTACTAGTTTTTACGATTTTCGGGAAGTCACGTTTAATTGAAATCAGTACAACAATTTCGCATTTTTAATTAAACTGCATTCAATTGACTGTAAACCATTTTTTTTTATCTATTCTGAAACAGTTTTGTTTCTCATTTCACCGAATTGTTTCTGAAAGAACGAGACGTTTACAAATAAATGGCAACAACAAGATTCTACTCGTGATGTTTGTATGTATAATTTCGCCCAGTGGAGTCAACTTTTGCAGAGAAAATTTTTGCGGGAATTTCTTTTGGCGGGAACTATTTTTTGCGGATCGTGGAAAAAACCGCAAAAATTTATAAGTAGTGCCACATGGTACCATGTAGTCCAAGGGACGGACGAAACTACATAAGGCTACATTGCTTGAAGTAACGATCACTCAGCGATGAGATAGTTAGAAATTCCGACAAAGGGCCGAAAAGAAACGACCAATCAGCGACAGGATAGTTAGAAATTCCGACAAAGGGCCGAAAAGTAACGACCAATCAGCGACAAGATTGATGGAAATTCACACAAGGGGTCAAAGAGTAAGGACCAATCAGCAACAAGATGGATAGAAATTCCGACATGGGGCCGAAAAGTAGGGACCAATCAGCGACAAGATTGTTAGAAATTCCGACACGGGGCCGAAAAGTAACGACTAATTAGTTACAATTCCGAAGTACCGATCAATTAGCGACAATAGTCACAATAGAATAAGCCATTTCTCAACTTTTCTTGGCTTCCATTAGAAAAAATTGTTTTATGAAAATGAGTTTTACTCAGAAGTCAACTTTCGTGCATGTAAAGCTTATTTTTATACAAACTTGTTACGAGACCTACAATAGGTAAATGTCACATTGGACAATTAGCGACAATGAATTATCTTTATTTAGAATATATCAGTGGAATATATACCTTTTTGAAAAACGATGCGACTGATGTTCTTTATCACACCAAAAGAACATTGACTGACGGAAAAGGACTCTTATACGTTCTGTCAAAAACATCACATAAGAAAACAGGATTATTTTTCTAGTTTATCCGTGCTTATTTTTGACTTGTATCAATTTTCAAATTAAGCCACGTTTTCAACCGTTCCGTGACTTGAAAATAAGCTTGAGAGGTTTAGGCGACGGAATATCTGATGATTGAGCGAACGGGCTTATTAAGATTTCCTTATCATCAAAGGATCTTTCACAAAAGCTTATTTATGAAGTGGATTGCGGACACACGGATTAATCAGCTGTCCTGCTCTATTTCAAGCCTTCACAACTCTTCCCTCTTTCTCTCGCGTAAAACACGCGTCAACAAATTTTTATTGTTCAAACAACTTTACATAAGAGAACGTTTTACAAATTTCGGAAGTTTGCTCTCCCAGTTCGAGAGTGTTTCAACATCATATATGTCTGTGTTTGATTTTAAAACTTGACTGTGTGTGTAGGTGCGATATCGCAATTGTCTGGTGCATAAAAGCTTTGTTTGTACAGTCGCAGCCAAAGCTCGGCTAAAGCAATTCCTGGTTAGCAGCCATTGGCTGTAAAGTTAAAAACATAAGTAATTTTACTTTGTTATTCCGTAATTACCATGATGAAGCTCTGCGGAAAGAAAGCGCGCTGTAAATCGAGAAAATACACTCGTTTTTATTTTTTTATTTTTTTATTTTTTTTTTATGATACTCTTTTTAAAACGTTGAACTGTCTGCGAAAACATCAAGCATGGTCAGGTTTAAATATATGAATATGCAAACAGATTAGCATAGAGACCTACTTCAGTCAACAAACTGGCTTTCAGTGTGTTTGACACGGGCTTTCGAAAGCTCAGCCGAGTCACATTATTAGCTCCACTGTGTTTATCTTATCTCTAGAAAAACGGAAAGCCACGCACGGCTCGTGAACCGTGCAAGTTTATAGTAAGGCCATATTCCTGCCTCGCTTCGGCTTTTATGTTTTCAGATCTATTCAATTCAAAGCATTTATTAAAGAGTATCAATGGAGTGGTTAAACGAAACGCAATGAAACATGAAAGAGATAGCGGTTTCAGGGTTTCTGATGTGTTTGTGAAATACCTCTCATTGTTTGACAAGAACACATCAAACCTTAACACGGAATTAAAATAGCTAGGCAGACGGAAGGTTTTCCATTTCGATGTCTGACAGAAACGACACGAATAATAAGTGTTGTTTTGACATAATTCAAGCTTCGATGAATTTCTTTCACAATACTGGCAGGTGACTGGCGAAGGAAAATATCAAATTCGCCATGACTCGAACGCTGCTCACTGCTGAAATAGAATTTTCACAACTTTTGATTAACTGGGCTTTTTTTTCACCAGGTAACTTGGGGATACTTGATTGTCTTTCAAACTGTCCGCGCCGTCATGTCTCCTAGTTTAAATTAATAAAGACAAGAAAATAGAACAAGAAAAATGCGAAAAATTAAAATCTATCACGAACCACTAATATTCGTTAACAAGAAGCTTTCATAAATACACAGATCCCAAAGATTCGTAAACATTTGCAAATAGCTTTATTTGGCCGCTTGCGCCAGACAAAATAACTTAAAACAAGATGAATTTGGTTTTCACCGAATTAAACGATTTCTTTGAAAAACATCCGACTCGTTGTCCTCTGGACATGAATAATTAAAAACACGGCGACAGCTGTGGGTTTGTTTTCTTTCATTTCCCGTCATTGTTTCGATTCAAATTCGATGAACTTGCTCTTCATCGTAAACATTTCGGGTGGTTTATTTCAGTTAGGAGCTTGCATGCGCCGCGAAACAAACGCGTGTCTCTTTGGCGCTAAAAATAATGCACGAGGCGTCAATAACATTTATATCCCGCCCAACTGATTATCGCGGCCTAAAAGGCTTGAGCGCCGAAACAAAGCTGTAACAAGACGTCAAAAACATGTCTAGACAATACAATAACGTTGTCTAGACAGTGGCGGGGGCCTTGGCACACAACATTTTACACGGACGACTCTGTTTGTCTTTGTCAGTGGCACGCAATTGGTTCATTCAGCCATGCAGTAATTGCGTTGGCAGAAGAGACAAGCTTCACAAAAGACAACCAAGTGTTTTTGAAGGCTACCTGTTTTGGCGCTATTATCAGGCGAAGTATTGAATAATTCACGCCAGTAGACTTTTATTTCATCTGATATACGGTACCCGAGCGAGATTAACGAATTCGCGTTCGTCGCGGCTTCTCATAATTTGATTCTCTGAGACCCCGTTTTGTACGCCAGGTGCGGTGTGACGTTGTGTCTTTGGCCTGCGAGTGGCACGTACGCTTTTCAAAGCGGGTGAGTCATATTTTTAACCCAAGATTTCACGAGCCTCGTCAGGGGTTTTTTCAGTAATTTTACCCCCTGAATAGCATTATCACATGTCCAGATGACAAATCAACTGCGAACAATAACGGTCCAAACAGGCCTTTCACCGAGCATGTGCAGTGAGTGAACAGACTCGTCTCGTCTGCTATAGGGAAAGCCGTTCAGACGTTTCACGCGACACGCTTTTGTAACTTATTTGGGTGAAATTAAGCAACGCGAATGGAGCGTGGCAAATTCTCTCGTTCGGACAACCCGCTTATAGACGAAATCCTACAGAAGTACCGCGACTGTTCGACAGACTCCATCACTGGACCGAAGGGCTTCACCGCAAAGAAATCGTGGAATTCGACATCAGACGACGGTGCTAAACATAGCTCGCATGTTTCGTCTAGTGAACATTCTAGGACCATGAGCATGAAGACTGTCACAGTAAGAATGCCACCGCCAAAGGGCCAAGACGGTTTCAACTTCAAAGAAACTATCATCGATGGCGTGCCGTTAGCTTGCTTCAGCTCTGGCGGTGAAAAGAGAGTGTGCTACACGGAGCTGGTGAATAAAGTTCTGAAGGATTTTGACGGCAAAGACATTGATGCTAATCGGGATCGCCTTCAGATCTACTGTCCGCGCTGCTCGCCACATCAGCTGGAATTATTTAAACTGGCCGGGGTTTTGTCCTGGTCGTCGACTTCGGCGAGTTTTATTTCCAAGACTGACTCGTTTCGCCTGATCGGTATTTTAACCGCGAGCGAGGTCCCGCGGCGGACGAGTCGTAGTTTCCCGAAGGACAGTTTAGAAGTGTACCATGAGTGTTTTGGCGGCTGCGCGGGCACTCTGGAAATTGACAAGTACACCGATCCGTACGCCAAGTGTATTACGTGTTCCCAATGCGATGGAGTGTTCTCTCCGCGAAGGTTTGTTGTCCATAATCATTCCTCAGGAGAGATACACACTTGTCACTGGGGCTTCGACGACGCGAAATGGCGCCTTTATTTGATGCTGTGCAATGAGCAACCCACGCTGCACGTACAGAAACTCTGGGAGATGCTTATGAATAAATTTTCGGACGGACAGCGCTACAAGCGCGCGTCGCCATCGAGCGAACAAGACTCAGATGGGAGCGAGCGCGACGGTGGTGCGAGCCCTCCGAAGAGGCCGCGCGTGGACAGACCCAGAGACTCGCGCGAAGTGGCAAATAGTGACAGCAGCGACTCGAATGGGAACAGTAGCAATTGCGGGAGCAGTTCTAATGGCGATATCGTGTGCAGAAGGTCTGCCTTTAGACCGTGGTCTCCCTTGCACGGCCGCGCGAAAAGCACAGAGAGCCCCAGTACTCCTAGCGGGGCACTTTCCGTGCCAATGATGTCGCCAGGTTCTCCTGCAAGGCTTTTCGCTCCTCACACCATTCCGTACCTGGCGAGCGACTGCCCTTACACACCGCCACATCCGCACAATTTTCACCGTCACGCTTTCAAGGGAGACATACGAAAGCCAATTCCAAAGGTCGAGCCCAGAATGAGTTCCGCCACGGTTTCGCACACCGTCAGCGAAATTCTAGCGACCCCGTCCGCTAAAGATCCTAGATCGCTAGAGAAAACGGCAAAGGAAATGCTCGAGGTTGTTGCTCAAAACGAAAGATGGGGAGGCTACGAAAAATCGTACAGTCCAAACCGAGACAGGGAACCCGAGGTCAATGACAACGAAAGTGCTGTTTTGGAAGAGCGTATTCAAAACATGCTCGCGAACTTGACTAAGAACGACAGGCTCCCTGCTTCTCCCAGAGAGTTAAGTGGCTTATTGGCCAAGGAAATCAAAGATTTATTTGCCAAGCACGGGGAGGATAAAGTGAGAGAACTGACCAATGTACGAGACAAACTTAGCGCGGAACTGGAGTCGTTGCAAAAAGAGCACGCCAAAAAAATGGAGGAAGCGCTGCAAGAACTCAAAAGCGTTCAAAAAGAATTGAGAATGATGCAGACGAGTCAACGACTCGAAATGGACAGTTTGAATGAGAAAAATATTAAACTACAGCTCGAAGTTAAAAAATACAAAGCCGAGAAAGATGACATTCTCTCTATGAACTCAAAAGAGACCATTAATGTACTGCAACAAGATGTGAGAGACTTGTCGAAAAAATTAGAGGAAAAAGACAGCTACTGTCGAGAGCTGGAGAATGAAATTAAGGGTTTCCACTCTTGGATTAACAATCAAAGATTACATAACGCCGGTTCCCAATTTATCTACACTATGAACAATCCAAGACGAGATTCCGAGTCAGTCATTAGGAGTCGACATATATTAAATGGAACTTCGGCGGGTGGTTTTACTCGCAAAACAAGTGTTAACAAAACTAATGGCTCGCTCCTCAACGGAGAGAGCTCAGAAGAAGAGCAATGAATTTTACACGGTTAGATTTTAAAGTAGTCATGCAGCGCGTAAAAACTTAGACGACACAACTGAGAAACACTCCGTAAATTCATATTGCAACCAGGAACAGGCTAATCTAACCAAAACAACCCCAGTTGGACAGATAAAAACATTGCCATTTCCGTAAGATTATAAAATCAACAGTTCTTTATTCCAATCAAAATTTGATTTTGCTAAAGGTGTCTTTGTCTTGTTGGTCTTCCTTAAATTGCCCACTGAAATTTAGGAGACGTAGGAAAAACATTAAGGAAAATTAAAAAGCTTATTTGTCGCCCCAAATGTTCATTTGTAGTAAGCTTTTGCCATGCAGATATAAATCGTATTTTAATGAAAGACCGCACGGTGCGGTTGGCATACATCGCATAGAAGCCTCTTAGTGTTCGTAGGCTAAACATGTAATTCGCTCTCTTCCTTAACGGCGCCTTACATATCCACATTTCAGCTTACCATTATCTAACAGACAGCGGCGTTTGTCGACTTCATAAACTGAAAAAGAGGAAGCCGTCATCTAAAGTTCTACCGGATCCACCTTATAACCAACAAAATAAAGAAAAAAAGAATTTAGAAAAGCTCGCGACCTGTCTGTCTGTCGAATTGAACCCTCCTCTCCCCTACTCCATTTCCATCTAATAAAATTCTTCGTCTGCAAAACTCTCAGAGAATTAACATTAATAAAAATGCACTTTGTTTTATTGAAATGCGCTAGACAAAATAATAGCATGAAAGCTTCTGGCTAATGGCCTCGGAAACAATTGTTTGATATTCGCGTGCCGAGTTTCTTTGTGCTTCGCCAGTGGCTAGACATAACTATCTTCACGTTGGGTTATTCAACAGGAAACCGATATTTCAAGTCTCAAAACAACGGGCTGGGTGTAATTTAAGAAGAAAGGCTATTTTTGGAGCGTCTGCGTCCGATATGAAACGCAAGAACAGCTGGAAAAGTTTCACGGTTTTCGATTTCTCGGAGCGATCCGGCGTGAACGTCGCTGAAATTATCCTCAAACACATGTGACCGAAAAGAAAGCTAAACAGCTTTGCGTGCGAAGCAGTAAGGACCAAGTGGCACTGCTTTAGACAAAGCTGTTTAAATGCAAAAAAAAATAATAATAATAATTTACATCGGAAGCTACGAACTGCTAAACAGCTAAAAAAAATCGCAAAACGTTCTTTTAAAAAAACAGTGGGAAGTAAACAAGCTTGCAACTTTGCGCGTAATCCTACAAAAACTAGTGACAAAGTTGTTTTAATTACGATCGAGGAACGACTTAGGGTTTTGTAAATAATAATTCTTGAGAAAGTTAATTTAGGGGTACATGTTCATGGCAGTAATTTAAGAGATAACAGAGAAAAGCCGTGTTTGAAGCAATGAGAAGCCCTGCGAGACAATTTTATACACCACTGAAAGATCTACAAATTCAATATCGCTTTGTTTCTATCAAGGAATATCCTACTTAATAGAATGTGTATCTCATAATTTTGTTTTAATTTTGTCTGTTATGCTATACAGGAAAAAAACTCTGTAAATTAGATCCCTCTTGCGGCGGACGCCTAAAATTTGGCAGAAACAGATATTAGCAATCTTAAAAATATATGAGACAAGAAATGTGCATCAAATGAGACGAAAACGCTTTGTGGTGAGAGATAAAGCCAAATTGACGCCAAAGCCATTTGTTTCGGAGTGTCCACATGCTCGGCGACAGTTTGATTGATAACTTCAAGCTGTTTTTCTTGAGTTACAAAAACACTGTGATTGTCTGGCCGACAGTGAATAAAAAATGGTGTGGCCTAATACTGTGCATTGCCACCATAACGTCTACCCAACACGAAATTCACTGCCTTATCTCGCTCTATCGCTTCGCCGCGGGAAAAATTACCAATACGAATTCATTCAGTTTCTGACCAGCGAAAACTGCTTTGTAATTGTTCTGTCATGGTTACTAGCCTTCGGTTCAAATATTCTCCCAAGTGATAGATATGCATTTTCCCGGCCCCCATACTTTCGATACAATCAACAACGTGGCGAGTCCAACCAGCGAATATTGTGCCCCCCACCCGCCATGGAAAGTGCACGTGTAATGAGAATTTATATTTTCAACATGGCGTTTTCTTGATATACAGGTTTTGGACAAAGATCTTCTGAAAACAAAAGAGAGGAAACAGAACGCAAAGAGCTCATATTAGCCAAGCTATATAAAGAGTTCGAATTTAAGCTAAAGAAGAATTTCGGCAACGATCATTGCTTTGAATGGGCTCCGCCGTACAGGCATCTTAATAAGGGTTTAATTTTCTCAGTTGTTTTTCTGTAGTACGTCAGCCAGATTGCTAATAGAAGCAACAGAACTAGCGGAAGACTTTCTATGTAAATGAAGTGGACAAGAGTCAAGTATAATGGAAGACAATCCATAGCATACACTTAAAACCTAAGCTTAGTTTTCAAGTACAGAAGTACATTTGATCACTAGAAGCACATTGTAAATAGATCTTACTTTCAAAAAATATTCTGCATATGACAGGATGACTTCATTATTTATTTCAATATTGTAACTTCAGTAACACAAAATAATTGCGTTAACTGCACTTTTTCTATTTGTAATTGATTTTGTTATATATTTGAGCCTCACGAGCTAAACCTCGCGACGCCGCCATGTTTCATAACTCATTTTTAGCGCGAAATCTGTCGAATGAAATGAGAATTGAGAGACTACCGCTCACTAACACAGTAAGAATAAAGAACGGACCTGCTGCAAGCTAGACCATTTTTCAACAAACGTGGCATAGAAAAATATAGTGTCCCGCGTAACACGCGCGAGTTTACACGCTCAATACTTCCCGCGAGTGTACTCGAGAAGACGCGCGCCGACTACAGATAAACTATCTGATATTTCAAAATTTGTTACAGTAGAATATCTAGAACAGACAGTCTTGCCCAGAACTGAATGTTTTGCGCCGTAAAATCTGTCTCAACAGCGTGCTTGTCTAGGCGCCCCGAAGGAAAACGAACTCCGTTGTTCTTGGACTTCATTCAGGTGTTGACAAGTCACATCGCTGACCCAAGCATTTTAATAATTCCAGGAGATTGTGCCAACAACTAGGGATGGATTTCATTGTCATCTTTATCTATCTATAATAGGATTTTGGGTAGATTAAAGGAGAAAAAGATTGTACTAAACGATTGCGAGGTAATCTTTGAAGCTTGTTTTCTAGATGTGTGTCATTACGGAACGAGTGTTTGGAAGGCTCTGCGTTTCTGAGAATGTTCTCGCTGTAATATTCAGCTCCATGCTTCATGTTATACCGAAGCGCGCCAAATTGCGACAAGAAAACTATTAAGTGTGGTCCTCGCCATCGCATCTAAAGCATTTAGCAATTTGCAGCGTGAAAGAGCACCGACAGAAACAGAGTATATCCGGGTCAACGGCAGGGTTTTATTTTTAGCAGACAAATCAATTATCCATTGAAAAGTAGGACGCGCAGTCTGGAAAAATCCAAAACACGATCCAACGCATGCTTGACTCGCTGACCTCGTCAATACAAAAGAAACATGTTCTATAGATAGAGCAGATTAGTCGGCGCGCTTTCATTCGTCGGCGAATGAACAGATTTATGATGGTCACCACTGGCCAGAGTCCAGCCCTTTGTACCTGTAATTAAAGTCGAGATTGTTCCGAGGATGAACGAACTAAAATAGTCCTTGAACTTTGTAGTCCACCCTGTTTGTAATATCACGTATTTTGCTTTGTGCCAAAACCCGCGGCACGGCAGCCGTAAAATGCTCGTCTGGACCACTTTTAGACCGTTATGTGCTTGAAACGTCTGCAAACCATTTCACAAATCCCCCAGACAGGCTCATTTAACACCAGAAACGTTGCGGTAGCGAGCTGGAGACAAGTGTTTTGACGCGCGAGAACAGATCGCTTCCAAAATCCCAGACATTAACGAGGTTTAATCTCATCAGAAACCTCCCTGCAGACACAGTAGTAATCTACTAAAAGTTGTCTGGAGCGACAAAGGGCACGAGAAACGAGACAGCTTGATTTCCTCGGAAGGACCACATAAGAATACAGACGCCACTACTAAATTCGACAACAGGGAGTGCGCCAGGGAATTTTGCGAGGATTTGCCACGCGGGGTCCCACGCTTAGCTAAAAAGAGAAACAGCACAAAAGAAATTAAAGCCGCGCTAATCGTTCCTCCTGAGATGACACTTTGGGCTGGCCAACACCAACAGTGAGTATTTTAAGTATGTCATGCTTCTGTTGGCACTTATTCAACAGGGTGTCAGAATTGATTGCAAATTAAAACATGAGAATTCTCCCAGAAAGAATATTTATGTTCCCATTTTTCTTTCCACTAGATACCAGCCATTCATAATACGAACACGAACCCTCCCTGCCGTCATGTCCACAGCATGAAGTGTCCCTACCCAGTGATCAAGCCTATTTTCAGAGGGAGGGCATAATGGAACCGCGTTTCCAAGGCCAGGGAAACGAGGTCGCCGAGAATCAATTTTGTGTCTCAGAGAGACAGATGTTTCATTTACCAACACGTAACCAGGGGTGTCCACCCTTATCAGAGGTACTGAGGGGTAAACAAGCCAAGCAAACAACATCTTCATCCCTGTTGGTGCTAGCCACGACTTTCAGACGGAGGGCTCATAAGGTATTAAGTACCTTACGAATATGCGACGGCGACGGCAAAGACGACGCCCAGTAAAAAAGCACGTGTTTCTATTTTACTTTAGAATTTCGCATTTATTTGGAACTATTCAGTGTGTCTGTCGGTATTAAAACTTGCCGCTGCTGAACATGCTACGAATGCTTTCAGTTCCAAATAGAAATACGAAAAATTAGCCGTTGGGGTTCACGTTCTCCAGACAACGCAGAATTTGTAGAGGACGGCAAAGAAATGTACCAAGAATCATAGTGCGCGTACACAGCCATTGTTTTGCTCATTAAACATTTTGGTTGGTGACGTCCTCGTTGCCGTTGCCGTCGTGGGTTGCGTAAGTTCCCCATTATCTGGACCTCACGCTCGGTGAATAACTATTTTATCATTGCACTAACGTTCTTTCAAGGAGTAACTGCAACAAAGGAGATTGAGTCGTTTTTGGATCAGCCCAGTTTATTACAGCATATTCATTTACATAGAAGCACATTTTTTTTTAATCACAAGGGCATTTTGATACAAATATTCAGATAAAACCTCCTTCACAATTATTGAAAAAGCTCAATGTTTTGCACTCCTTTCCCTTGACAACGCCCCACATTGCACGCAATAAATTCATCCAAGACGAGGCAATATTGCAGGGAGCCTTTCCCTGGCGACCATATGAGTGATCCCGAACAACGGAAAATTTTTTGCATAGGGAAAAAAAAATCACTCAGGTCCCGTCCGCACTATGCCGAAGAATTTGAAAACGGCGTTTTCACTCTGAAAACGCATCAAACGTTTTCCGTCCACACTACGGCGGAGAAATGTAAAACCGCAGCAAACACCGGTCATTTCGGATTTGTGTTTGAGGAAAACTCGGTCAGGAAAATCACATGATTATCGTGACGTCATCATTTTCGAAAAGTTCCGTTTTCAAAATGTTTTCCGTCCCCACGAAAACGCAAAGCCGGCGTTTTCAAATTCTCCCCGTTTGAAGAGCGTTTTCGAAAAGCTCCGTTTTCATGACGGATTAGTGTAGACGGTAAAAAATAAAGCTGCATTTTCGAATTTCTCTGGTGTAACTTGGACGGGGCCTCATTTCCCAATGAAGAGAAACGTCATTGTTTGGGAACGCAAACATGGCCGCCGTGACGTCAAGTGGAAAACGCATTTTGCCGTCTCTTTTCATTTAACTGAAGTTTTCTCTGTCGTTAAACTACTGCAATTAGAGGCCAGAAAACCAACCAGACTGTTTTGATACTTTAGGTCCTTAGATTGAAATAACAATTCTCTTTACATAGCTGTGTACTTCTTTAATTGTTAGTTCTGAGAAACTGGAAGTACATCAAGACATGTGTCTCAAGCTGATGGTTTTCTGTATTCTTACCACTGTTGTTTTTGACAAATTATGCAATGATACTGTAATGTTAAAACAGAGTTTGATCAATTTTTCAATACCGTAAACTATAAGAACCGTGGGGCATCTGAACCTAAAATGAAGGCTACTTGAGAAACTACCTAACCCTTGGGAAAACATCAACATACTAACATACGGACCAGCCGACAAATCTTAAAACAACGCGATATGAATACAAAAAAAAATTGTACAAGTTGCCTAATTTGAAAATATAAAACCCCAACCTATTTAATCTTATATATAAAAATAATTTTATGTTTTAACTAAAAAATATGTGTATTTTTTATTTAAAATCTATTATAACATTTATATAATGATTAAATGAATGCGCGCGCTCTGATTGGTCAATCAGCTATGGTTTATTGTGCCAGTAAACGCGTGTCTTCGGAATTATTATATAAAAGCAATAGACCACAAGTTTTTATGGTTTATAGGCTGATAAACCACTTGAAGAAAACACCCGAAGAATTCGTAAATCACGAGCCGCAGGCGAGTGATTTACGAATTCTTCTCGTGTTCTTCCAACATCCCGCGTGGTTTATCAGCCTATAAACCATAAAAACTTGTGGTCTATTGCTTAAGTAACTTCTAAAATGAACTTCTAAGATGAGATTAACCTGAAGTACTTGAGATTTCTAATCACTGAAACAACTCACTCAACAATTGTTGCAAGCACATCCGAGCGAATCGAGAAACAGAAAAACCAAGCTATCTACTTAAAGTGACACAACGGTAATAATTCTAACAGTTTTATAACTTTGTGTAGCTCATTAATACAACTCTCTCAGCGTTACTTTTTTGAGAAATTCACTTGCCGAGGCTGACCGACCGCGATCCGAAGATTTTCCGACATAACCCAGTTTAGCTAATCTGCCAGATCATGACTCTCGGCTCTTTCTCGTTCTCGTTGGGCCTTTTGCGTCGCAAGTCTGCATACCCTTCACCAGCGCTTACGAGGAGGACTGGGAACGGCAGCCTCGGTTTCAAGTTCTCCACTTTAGGGGTCGTTAAAGTTCCGGCAACAGAATCGCGTGCTTGACTCTGATCAAATACATTGTAGCTATCGTCTTGGCGAGGACTGTCGTAAATCACCTCCGATGTTTTCGGAATTTCCGGTGATTTTGCGGCTCGTGGATCAGTGTCTTTAAGAACTTCTATATAACTCGGAGCCCCCACATCAATGGAAGTAACAAGGAGATTTCCGGAAGCGGTGTCCTCTTCCGGTTTGGTTTCAACTTCCGGTCGAAGGCCGCTCTCTGGGCTGGGGTGATCTTTAGATGCTGGATTAGTTTCATTCACCTTTTCCAAGTGAATTCCTTGAGCTTCAGCCGCTGCACGGGCATCATTAAGTTTGACATATTCACCAACAGATTTTATTCTTCCCCTAACATCCGCTGTCTCGCTCCTACTTCCACTTCCGTTTCCTTGCTCACCGGGCGCAGAAGCACTTCCGGACACATCACCATTGACAGTAGGATCGTTTCTGGTTTCCTCGCTTTCAGCGGAATTTACATCACCGTTCGCATCCACAGCCGACAGTGTCGGGTCCTGCTCGTTTACAAGAACGAGCGGGATTCGTGGAGGTTCGGAAATACTCGGCGGAGGCGTGCTCCCGAACCCTTTAAATTCGGATAACATTCGGGCGAAGTCGTCAACTCGGAATTCAGTCTTGCCTACTAAATCTTCGGATTGGACCGAACTCGAAGTGGCGTTCTTGGAAGGGTTTCCACTACCCTCAAACCGCACACTGAACGAACCCGTTGAAGACGCAGTCCCAACGCTTGATAATCGCGGTATTTGCATGCCACTCAACGTTTGCTGTCTATCTTCCACGAAGTTAAATTCGTCATCACTATGAACATCTTGGTCAGAGAAATCCCCGTCACCCTCTCCCCCACGGTCAGTAGTTTGTCCGCCAGTCACTGGCATTTTATTGCTGTTGCCTTTTTCAGGAGAAGCTGCAATAAAACATTGACGGCGGAGTTCAAACGCAATCTTAACATCACAATTCTCCCAACCAGTTTCAACATACTTTTTGGTGCTCTGCTCTTTGGAGAATTTGATGACAATCAGTCCCGCCTTTCAATGAAAACTGCTTGAAATTGTACTTGTGGTGTATAGGAAAACAATTTTGAAAACAATCAGCTGTTTAACAAACCACGAGTTTGGATTTTTAACGAGTTTATATTCAACTTGTCGTATTAATTTTTATTTACAGTGTGCACAGTTACTAATCTACTGTGCTAAATCTACTGACCAAAAATAAAGTCACTTTTCTGTGGGGCACGGGAAGGGGGATAAATCGGGTTCATCGGTTCGATTAACAGTGGTGTTGTGTTAAAGGGGCTAGGTCATGCAATTTTACGCAATTTTAGAGCTGATGAACGTGTTACAGAATTAACTGAGATATCACAATAGCCGCTTAAATTTGTACAAAAACGCACAAGAAACACAGAAACGCCAAAAAGGAGCATGGATGGACAACAATGGAGAAGAGTGAAACGGATTGCATTACGGCTCAACTTGAAAAACGTCGAGACGACGTTTTTAAGTTTTTAAGACCGTCGCTTAAGTTTATCCCAATCTATTTCAGTTGCATCCATAATGCTCAGATATCATCCTTGTTGGTTATGTGGCCGTGATTTTACCCACGAATTAAGACTGTTGCTCTGCCAATTTGAGGTTTAGAGCACGTAAATAACCACTCTAAACAGAATTGCCTACAACGCCGTGACCTATGCCCCTTTAATACTGCATTGCAAGGAAGGACAACGACCTTGGACCTCAAAACTTGCTTCGGTCTGACGCCAACTATGGTAGACAGAAGAATGGGCACTAACTTTCACTTTGATTGGCCAAGGCCGGACCACGTGACGAGTAGGTCCAGGCCCCCGACACTCCCGCATCCGTCTGCACACACGCATCTCTGACCTCGTGTTCCCGGAACAAACTAAAGTCAAGTTTACTTCCTTCGGGTCCGTATCCCGTCCCCGTCCTGGGACTCGGGTTGCTTTTCAACGGGTAAAAGCATCGCACGCTGCTGCCGTACGAGTGGAATGCTACACACGCTTTGCCTGGAAAAAAGAAAAAAAATGAAAAGTCTTAACTACTTCAGTTAGACTACGAGTAGTCCCTCTTTCGCTTAGTCCGTCGTGCGTGCTGCGAAAGAAAACTGCGAGACAGAATAGGCCGCGCGAACTTCTGTGGGCGAGAAGCGTGCGTCTCGCCCCCAGGATTTCACGCGGCCACTTTTTCCTCGCGGTTTATTTACAGCCTCGCTCGACGGACTAAGCGAAAGAGGGACTACTCGTAGTCTATAGTTTAGAGGACAGCTGAGTGCATGATCTACGTTTCACGTACTATTTATTTTCCTACGCAACAAAATCACAGTGTTTTCAAGTTGAAGTGATACGATTATGTTCAGTTTGCTCCAAGTTACCTTGTGCCTCTGTTTCAAAACGAGTACTCGTGCAATACCGTTCATATGTAAATGAGTTTTATTTTCATGAAAATAAACCCGAGAAGAACACATTTTCATGTGAATGGTTTTGGATTAAGACTCGTTTTGACACAGAGGCAACTTGGAAATCGCCTATTACGGAATTTAGCAAAGGATCTAGAAGGGAGTTCCGTTTTGTTACCCCAACTTTACTTGCCAAATTTCAAAGCCCGTTCGGGCCAAACTTCACAAGTTTCCCGTATTCAATCCATTCCTAGCCTTCCTCACTTTCTACAAAAACGCCTTCTTGCCATCTGTAAAACTCTGTACTACACAATCAAACCATTAGCTTTGATTCGCTGCTATCTAGGTGTGTTTTCGAGCGCGTTGCAATCAAGGTAAAATAGATGGCAGTTCTTACCCGACACGAGTGGTATTCCCTCCAGTCTTGGAAGTGGAAATACTAGAGTAACGCCCACACTCGTCCCCACCCACAGCAAACCTTCATCCGCAGCTAAAGCTGTGGCATAAACTTGATCAAGTTTTGTTTTTTCCAACTGAGAATCGATATCTGTGAAGAAAAATGTGGAAGCTAAATGTAAGCCAGGCTTTCACAAGCGACACAAAACGCGGCCCTCGTGTTATGTCGTTAGACTTGTAAGAAGAGGGACATTACATCACAATGTTCCTATTCAATCAAACCCTTGTTATTTAAAGAGCGGACAAGTGAAAATAAAACTTTTCAATGGTTAAATCACTAGTCAGTGGGTAAGCGTTAACAACATAGTACGTCTACTGGATATTTATAATTATTAGAAATATAGTTAGCCACACTTTGAACAACCAGCAGGATAAGCTTATAAATGGGGTTTTGCCAAATTATCGTTGACCTGCGATGGACTCCTGTTCGCTTCATGCTTTACAAACTAGGGTTAAAAGCCATTTAGCCCATAGTTTCTCAGGACAAATTTCTTCAGGCCTTTGTCAGGACTCTTGCAGATTTTCCAGACTCCAAATGAAGAATTCAAAGGTTGTTCAACGCATTCCTGTTACGACTACACAGGGTCGTTGAAAGACAAACAAGGCTCCCCCTTGGCATTATTCGTTCAGTTTTCAAACTAACCTCGCTGCATATTGGTCACCGGAGAAGAGATGCTAATGTCCTGTACGTGCTTGAGTGTCTCGCTATGAAACAGCTTGATCGACGGGAACTTCCAAACAGACACCCAGACACCCACACCGTAACTAACAAGGTGCTTGATGTTGGTTTTCGGGTTATCGTCAACTTCAATGACGTGCTGTGAAAAAAACGTTTGACGGAATGAAGTTACCGCTTTCTTTCGTAGTAAAGAAAAAAATGACTACATGGGGGATGAGTGACAAAGTAAGTGGCTGAGGGGGAGGGTGAGTAAAAAGAGAGGGAAGGAGGGAGGGAAGCCGGCGTGAGAGGGAGTTAGAAGGGAGAGGCTGACTAATGAATGAATAAGTGGTGGTGAGAGGGACAAAGGGGGAAAAGAAAGGAAGAAAAGAAAAGAGAAGAGGGGTAACAGGGGTTTCATGGATAAGTGCGGAGAAAGGAAGGGATGGAGAAAGAGAGAGGGGAGGGAGGAACAGAGCCAGGAAGGAAATGAATAAGCGAAGAAATGAGCGAGAGAAGAAGAGATGGAAGAAAAAAACGGAGCAGCGAGGGAACGTAATGAACTTATACAGTGCTTATTTCATCCTCAAGTTCCGTCGTGAAAGCCTTAAAATTATGCGATGTACAAATCATGTTTGACATCAAGCTGACGCTTGTGAAGGTTCTTACAGCGAACATGCTCAGCGAAAGAGTCTATTTCCAATTTTATTTACTTGGGATGCGTCCTGCACTCCTTTTGAAGACATGGAGTAGTAGATTCCTTAACTCCAGATATTTTGTAAAAGAAAGTTTTGTGGACAAAGCCAGCGACTTTCCAAATGATGGCGAAGAATAATGAGCGTGGTTGGTATATGGCTGCAAGCTTTTAAAATGCGGCTTTGTATGCTAATGTAAAATGCGCAGATACCTTGATAACTTCTTCATTGTGGTTTACAATAAACAACTTGTTTCCACAGGAACACCACAGGCTTTCTCTCACAACCGCCAACGCCATTACGGGAGACTTACCGAGACCTACGGCTTTTGGCTCACTGAAGTTCCACGTACCCTCTGAAAACCAGTTGTAAAACAAAATACACTGAACAAACGAAAACACTTTCAAAATGACTTCCTTTTGGCTTTTAACTCTTTTCCCGCGCTTTTCACCGGTTACATCAGTTCTCGCTTTTCGCGCCCTTTTCACCGGAGAACTGATTGCTTTGTGCCATTGGTAGCTTTAGTCATAAGTCACGTGCAAGTCACGTCCCTGTCTCTTTGTTGATTACGTTAAATTCAATAAATGGCCGAAAACAGCCAACAAACGCAAAGTGGGCGGAAAAAAGAAAGAATTAAAGAACAACAAGAAGAACAGAAGGCAGAATTTGAATTCGCTAAAAGGTATTGTGACAAATGGTTATTGGCCAAGCCTGAGATCAAGATGGCTGGATATTTTACCAAGACTTCATTTTGCTTGCCTTGACCGAACAAGAATTTACTGTATGGCATACAAGACACAATTTTTTTACGGGACACAGCGAGCAATCCCGAGAGCGCAAGCTAGACCAACCTTGCGGGCGCAGATAACCAATTAGAGCGCAGACTTTGGTCCATTTTGCCCACTTACGGAGTTAGCTATATCATAATTGTCTTAGTTCTAGGTCAAACTTTATTTAAGATAATTTTCCTCCTTTTTACCTTGATTGCGTTTGAAAATGACCACGCTACCGTCGGCCACGCCAGCAAAGATCTTCATATTTACCTTCCTTGAAGAAGAAGCAAACATGGTTTTCAGCAGTGTTTCAGCCAGAAAATTTTACTTGAGGGCCAAAGTGGCCCCT